GAAAAACAAACCAAATATACCGTCAGAACAATTCTGGCGTTCTTTCATGCGGACATGGGTTGTGGCATATTTTGGCATGAAATCGTAAAAAAATGACACTTTTAATTCGGACGTCCGGAGCACTTTTTTATTTACCTACACCAGGAACGTCCAAACTCATGCAAATTGAAATTTAGTGGCATGTAAATATGTGAAAGCGTGTTATAGAGCTATATGAAGGAGAAGTACAAAAATAACAAAATTGATTTAGGGTCAATTTTGCATAAGGGAGTTGGAACCTTAGTTTCTTATTTATTTCTTAATGTAACAACGGGGAATTTTAGAAACAATATGATATAAATCTTGCAGGAGCGTAGAACTTACTACTGATGATGACCTCGGGGTTTTTCTATCCAATAGCAGTGGTAATGATCAAGTGCTAGATAGATATAAGAAGATGTGGTATGAGTGCCAATGAGACAACTCTCCATCCAAGTCACAATTTGTAGAAATAAACCATTATAGGTCAAAGTACGGTCTTCAACACAGAGCCTTGGCTCACACCGAACAGCAAGCTATAAAGGGCCCCAAAAATGACTAGTGTAAAACCATTCAAACGGGAAAACCAACGGTCTAATCTATATAAAAAACGAGAAACGAGAAACACTTATGAACCACATCAACAAACGACAACTACTGAACATCAGATTACTGACTTAGGATAGGTGCAAACAAATGCAGCGGGTTTAAACGTTTACATAGGTACCAACCTCCACCCTTATCTGTAACAATAGTGTAACATCACAACATAGAATTACACACTGTAAAATATCAATTGAAATGGCTTAACTCAATCAAAAGACATATTAACACAAGTGAACATACACTGAACGCATACATTTGATCTATGACACAATGTAAATACAAAATCAACAAAAAAGGGGTTAGATGTTAAACAATTTCAGAAAAACAACCATAACCTTGAACAAAATGCCGCCAAATAGACTAATGTACACAGGTAAATGAAAATAATTCTGTTGTAAGGTATACAGTATAAATGGAGAACGGAAATATTTTTTACAAAATAAATAATTTTGTTGTTCATAGTACGAGAACAGAAGTGAAAATTTATAGTCATACCAAACACTTATCAAAGCTGGTATATATTAAAAATAGAGAGACGAGATATAGCCTTAAATAAGTAAACATTAAATAACAAAAAAACATTACAAATTGTATCAACAGGTCAAATTAACAAGAAAGTATGATTTGAGAGTACTCGCAGTTACTGAAAACTAGTTAAAAGCCAAAAACAATTAATAATAAAAAAATCATACATCAGAAGCTAAAATCAACTAAAACACATTCCAGGGATTTAGTATTTTAACGTCATTGACAGTCAAAGAAGACATTACTTGTGCAATGCCAAAAATAAAAGTATCGACAGGCAGTAGGATAGTTTAGAGTTAACCTCTATATAGAAAACATGAACGTGGATGTGTATTTATACATCCCATTTAAAAAGAATACAAATTTAGTTATGTTTTAATTTGCTGATGACAAAATCGATATTAGTGCCAATGTAAACTATATTCAAAGATCTAATTACAACATTGGTAAGATAACCTTTACTTATAAGTTTGTTTAAGAGTTCGATGAGTTTACACAGATCACATAGTGATTTCCGCGCTTTTAGTACAATATTACCGTAAAATGTAGGATGTGAAATACCTTTTTTATAAGTTTTCTACAGGTACAGCCAAATTTACTAATCAAATATTGTATCTATGAAAGAATTTAGTAAAAGTCTTAAGTAATTTATGTTAACGAAATCCCTGACTTAATAATTTACCAGTGATGCATTGATTACGTTCGTTAAAATCTATGACATCACTACACACACGGACATAACGAACGAGTTGGGATATATAAACACCGTATGATCGAGCCAAAGGAACATCGCCGTCTAAAAAAGAAAAAAATTAACAATAGGGAATGAAAAAGCGTCTCTTTTGTCGTAAATTTTAGTATGGATTTTCCCTTTAGAAATTGAAATGTTTAAATCATTAAAAGGACAACTACTGATGTTAGATTTAGTTAAAGTAAGTTCCTTCTGGTAAATTTCGGTATTATATTTAGAGAACTCTGGTTATTTAACGAAAAAATATCATCAAGATAACGGTAGGTATTGTTGAATGTATCAACCAAATGTAATAATGACGTGTCTTTACTGAGTTTGGTCATAAACTGACATTCATAGCAAAATCTGCTATTAAAGGGGCACAGTTAGTGCCCATAGGAATACCTACTACTGGACTTAACCACATTTGACTTAAAAAAAGATTAAGTATGTATATTACTGGAATAAAGGACTATTATGAGCAGCATGACAATCGCATTAACAAATATAACATTATAATTTGATTAAACAGTTGCACACGGAAATGATATATAATCAGTTTATATATCCCTATATATATTTCTATATCTCAAACATATAACATGAGTTGTGTTCATGATTAAACCGGAAAATTAAAACCAGATACAATATATATGCACTTATCCCTTGATCAACATTCCCTCTTAAGTCTTTTGTGAATAGTAAGCAACGATACAGTAATGTCCACCAGTACATGCATTATCTTCGTATTTCAATTACTAGTAGCTAAGTTAGAACATATTTTGTTTGCAAAAGTAGCAAAAGGAACTGGACACTATAGTTATAACAATTTTAGTGAATCCTCTCCCTATATAACTATAAACACAAAATACATTAGATAATGGCGAAAAAAATAATAGGAATGCATGTAATACAAACTACAAACAAAACCTAATAAACGAAAAACACAATAAAATAAGGAATATTATATAATAAAATTGAGAATGGAAATGGGGAATATGTCAAGGAGACAACAACCCGACCAAAGAGCAGACAACAGCCAAAGGCCACCAATGGGTCTTCAATGCAGCGAGAAAATCCCGCACCCGGAGGTGGTCCTCAGCTGGCCCTTAAATAAAATTGTGTGCTAGTTCAGTGAAAATGGACGTCACACTAAACTCCAAAACATATAGATGAACTAAAATTAAAAAAAACATACTAGACTAACAAAGGCCAGAGGCTCCTGACTTGACACAGGCGCAAAAATGCGGCGGGGTTAAATATGTTTTGTGAGATGTCAACCCTCCACCTATACCTCTAGCCAATGTAGAATAAAGAAACACATAGCAATACGCACAGTAAAACTCAGTTTAAAAGAAGTCCGAGTCCGATGTCAGAATAGGTAACAAAAGAAACTAAGCAAAATGACAATGATACATAAATGAACAAAGGACAACTAGCAGTTACTGACATGCCATCTCTAGACCTCAATTAAACTGATTAAAAGATTATGTCTTCATTATATGAAAATCAAGTACAATCCCTCCCGTTAGGGGTTTAGTATCATACCATCATAAGACTGGACTGGAGTGAACTGTTGGAAAGTAGAAATATAGAGTTTTACTTGAGTGTTCTAAATCTTTGTGTAATTATCAGACTAAAACAAATATTTTGCCGACATGAAAGGTAATCGTCACCAGCCAATAGAATTAAATTGATATAGCATATCTTTCTAATTTTTAAAAATCTATATTTTATTTGCTGTTAGAGGTGGAGGTGTTAGAGGTGGTTATCCCTGTCCACTAGCCTGGTTTAGATTACATCCTTTTTGAATCAGTAACTGCACTTCTCTCTCATCCGTCCTCTCACATGCATCATAACAGCCATAATAAGATTATGATGGGATGAATATTTAATGCATATTTCAAATGTCCAATATTCTCGCCCTATGGTAAGAAGACAGTAAAATACATACGCATATATCTGTTGGGTCTTTGAAACGGTTTTATATACAATTTAAAAATTCAGAATGAAGAAGTGCACGCATGTTAGAATGAATGCCTTTCAAAAAAGCATCGAGTCAAATTATGGATTGGCTTCACTGTTTTTTGTAATTATATAATCCTTATCGGCAGATATTTGTTGAGCCAGTCCTAAGTAACACGTTTGTATACATTGACTATTGTTCTATCAGTAACGATATTAATTTGATATTGCTAGGGATATCGATTTGCTATTTCTTACAACAGTTATCAGTTAGCCCTGTAATACTACAGAGGATTGTAAACATTACAAATATCTCCTTTAAAAACCTGTCACTTTTAAGATGAGTTTTTGTTGTAATATATATATATAAATTACTGAAAACCTTAGTACACCTTCTACTTTAAATTCAATTTGGGCTTATAAAATTTAAGTTAAATGTTTTATAAATATGTATACTATAGCATCTCCCGGATAAATCGGCCCATAACAAACCCGGACTATAGCAATAAAATTGAGAATGGAAATGTGGAAGTTGTCAAAGAGACAACAACGCGACCAAAGAGCAGAACACAACCGAAGGTCATCATTAGGTCTTCAACACAGCGAGAAAAATCCCGCACACGGAGGCGTGCTTCAGCTGGCCCCTAAACAAAAATGTGTACTCGTTTAGTGATAATTGACGTCATACTAAAGTCCGAAATATATAAATGAACTAAAATTAAAAATCATACAAGACTAACAAAAAACAGAGGCTCCTGACTTGGGACAGGCACAAAAATGCGGTGGGGTAAAACATGTTTTGTGAGATCTCACCCTCTATACCTCTAGCCAATGTAGAAAAAACAAACACACAGCAATACTCACAGTAAAACTCAGTTTAAGAGACGTCCGAGCCCGATGTCAGAATAGGTAAGAAAAGAGACTAAACAAATTGACAATGATACATAAATTAACAAAGGACTACTAGCAGTTACTTGGTCTATAACAGTAAAAGATGGAGTCCTCTTTTCCATTGTTTCAATAAAAACTTTTTGGGGTAAAATTTAGGTGCTTCTATTTTAACGCATTTTTCGCTAATTACCTTTCAAATAGATATAAACAAATCTAAGTATATCTAGAACTTTATTTTGTACATTTCTAAAAATCAATACCATGTTTCACTTAAATTACTAACTACTAGTAGCATTCCTTTATCATGTTTTACTAGTTTATAATTGCAGTTATTCTTGATATAATTATTTATTAATATATGAGGTTTTTACGAAAAGTCTTGTACATTAAGTACTAGTATAGTTTTCTTTATTTTAGGAATTCAACTATCAACTATCCAAGTGTTTTTCTTGGGGTTATTCCTGCAAATTGATCATTAAATTATGATGTAGATATATAGTGGAAATAACAAAATAAACTTTATACCTCCAACGCGCTTTTCTTGCAATTGATAAGGAACGCTCATACGTAATAAGTTTAATCCACGGACGAATAATTGCCTGAACACGATAGGAGCTATTTGACCGATTCAGTCTTGTGTTTATTTTTGTTTTTTCTAGAAATTCGATTAATTGCTTTCCCCCAAAAACGTCTTGACGGATACATCTGTTTTTTCTTGAATAGTTGATGTTAGTATTTTCATTTTCTATCCGTTCTTCAATCATATATCGATGTAAATATTGATTAACCTTTTTATTGCCTGGTATTGAATAAACGCTGTCAAGATTTTTTTGTAAGATTAGTAAATTACTTGCCTTTTTAAAGTTCTGTGTTTGTATTTAAACTAACCGTTATTAATCCGCCATCGTAATCGTCATAGCGTAATATTGAAAGTTTAAAGTTCTGTGATTCATTATCCATTAAAAAATCGTATATATTTATCAATTGGTCTAAATACTCCTCATCAAAAGTTCAGGCTTATCTTAGAAATACTATATAAGGAAATACAAAGGACTTAAACACTGTCATTCTCCCCCATCATAGCCATCAGTTTTGTCAACACAAGCTCCGTTGTCTTTCAGTAACTGTACAATCTTATCATTCCCTTTATTACAAGCAATGGTCAGGGGTGTCTCTCTCCGGTCATTAGCTCGGTTAACGTTTGCACCATTTTCTAACAGTAACTGTACTATGTTTGTGTTGCCTGTACTACAAGCAGCGGCCAAAGGGGGTTGGCCTATTTCATCAGCATTGGTAACACTTGCTCCCTTATCGATAAGTAATTTTACTATCTTCTCATTCCCATCCATACAAGCAGCTGTCAGTGGTGTTACTCTTCCATTATCTGCTATATTAACGTCAGCTCCTTTATCTATTAATATCTGTATTATCTGATTACTTCCTCCTGTACAGGCAGCCGTCAGTGGTGTATATCTCTGACCAGCCATGTTAAGATCAGCTCCTATGTCTGCCAATAACAGTATAACATTGACATTTCTGCTTATGCAAGCACGTGTCAAAAGAGTCAAACCATCCCAATCAGTCTTGTTGACGTCAGCTACTTTTTCTAATAGTAAGCGTAATACCTTCTCATTTGGGTTCATACACGAAACTGTCAAAGCCGTATGTCTTTGTCTATCAAATTGGTTAACGTCAGCTCCATTCTTCTTCAGAAGTTGTATTATCCTTTCCTTTCCCCCGTTGCAAGCAACTATAAGAGGTGTCTGTCCCTTCATGTCAGCCTTATTGATTTGAGCCCCTGATTCTATAAGTAAATGCACTACCTTTGCACCCCCTTTCTCACACGCAGCTGTAAGATGTGATTGTCCCTTTTCATCAACTTGGTTAACATCAGCCCCTCTTCCTATTAGTAGCTTCATCATCTTTTCATAACATCCCTCACGAGCAATTGATAGAGGGGTTTGCCCCATTTCATCTGTCTGTTTAACATCAACTCCTTTCTCTATCAGAAACTCCACTGTGTTTACATCCCCATTCTTACAAGCAGTTAGAGGTGTGTTTCCATCCCCATCAACCATATCAAGACAAGCTCCTTTATTTATCAGCAACTGTATTAGCTTCTTATTCCCTCTCTTACAAGCAGCTGTTAGAGGTATTTGTCCCTGTCCACCTGCCTGGTTAACATCAGCACATGCCCTTATCAGTGACTTCGCGTATTCTTCAGTCGCATTCCTACATGCATTTATTAGATATGTGTTTTCCTCCTGGACAACTTTTGGAAGATTAACCCCTTTGTGTTTTAGTAATTGTATTATCTTCGCGTTTGTTAGTGTAGTCCATTCACTCCAATCAATCATGTTTACATCGGCTTTGTTGTCTAACAGTAACTCTACTATCTTCTCGTTCCCTTTCTTACAAGCAATTTCAAGAGGTACCTGTCCCTGCCAACCAGTCATGTTAACATCAGCTTTGTTTTCTATCAAAAGCTGAACTATCTTTTCATTCCCTTTCTCACAAGCATTTGCTAAAGGCGTCTGTCGCTGCCCATTAGCCTGGTTGACATTAGCACCTTTGTTTATCAGCAACTGTATTATGCTCTCACTACCTCTCTCACAAGCAGTTGTTAGCGCTGTATGTCCCTCCTTATCGGCCTTGTTAACATGAGATCCTTTTTCTATCAATTGCTGTACCTTTTCCAAATTCTCGCTTCTACAAGCAGAAGTGTGAAGTCTAGGTCTCCACTCGTCAGCTTTGCTTTGATAAGCTCCTTTGTCAAACTGATATTCTTCGTCATAAATAGTTTTCAAAGGTTTTTTATTCATTTTTCTCTCTGAAAAAAAGAGAATTTCAGAATATAAACAATGTCTTTTTTTCGTAAAAACCTGTACAAAGTCAGGAATATGACAGTTGTTTTCCATTGTGTCTGAATACGATGAAACTATTAACTGCATTAGTTCAATAGAAAATGGAGTAAAAGTACATTGGACAAAATCGCACACAATACATAGAAATCATAGAAAATTATCAATGAACAGGACTTTTATTCCTGTTCTTCATCTTGACAGTTGATGTAGGGTCTTCAACAATGAACGAATCATTCATACCCTACAACAAGGTCAAGACGGCCCCTAGCGTCGACTTAAGCGGTACTATTGATAAAAATAAACCACAGTTCACCTTCTTGCTCCCCACCCGCCTCGGAGTGCCAATTTGTGCGATGCTTGTGTACGACGATTCTCCAGTCGAAAGCACCAGGGATACAAGAAAAGTGCAGTAATTTTGAAAAACATCGATCGCCGCTAAAATGTGCCTTGAAGTAACACATGTCGGGAGCGGTCAATGATTTACATAATTTATAATTACGGGCGAGGTTTTTCAACATATATTTGTCATACATTGCCCAACAAAAGACCAATAACTTCGAAACAACTAATGATAGACAATACATATAAAGCTAAACAACAAATGATAGACAGCACGGGGCACATCGAAATATATGTAAGAAAACCTAGCTGTTTAAAATAGTATGAAAGGGCAATATACAAAACAGATAACCAGACCAGTATTTTGACGAAATGTAACCAAACATGAAATTTTGACGGTGTATTAATATGAGAAATTCTCACATGAACAAGCACACCATAACTGTAAATATTATAAGAGCATACACCTCAAGCACAGGAAAACGTTCTACTGCCTCCACACAGCACTAGAGACAAACTCTTTTTACTGCATTGCGTAAATATAATTCCATTTCAAATACCTCCTTGCGTCCTAACTAAAAATCCTGTCATTTACATTATTTGTAAATATACAAATATTTTGTTTTGAAGTTTGGTTGTACACTTATTTCAAACGAGATAACGCATCCTAATTTTTACGGAGATATGTTTTACCGAGCCTGGAAATTATGATACGATCCGGGTAAACGTATCGATCCTTTAGATAAACTTATTCTAAAAGGTTACCTATTCAACACTGTAATTAGATCTATGAATATTGTTTTTATTGGTATGAAAATTGATTTTGTTATCAGTAAATGATTACCAAACTAATATTATCGTTACATATAAATACATGTGCACATTCACGGTTCTACAATATATCGATATTTTCGTTTGTTATTGAAATTTCGGCACTTTGGTTTTTATGTGGAATTTTTATACTACCATATTTGTAAAAATGCAGTATACATGTTTATATGATATAGATATAACGTATTTAGTTTGCTGGTTGTTTCAAACGCATTGCTCATCATCATGCATGCATCATACTGGAGCAGTTTAATTTTGTATCAGGGGCAAATCCCCTTTAAATGAAGTGACTTCGCATATTGCAATTTCAATGGAAAATCCTTGATGTCATTTTATATTTCAGCAATTTACCCTTCCGGTATGAAATTCTATTATTATATATCATTATGGGGTTTCGTGTGTTTGAACAGATTAACCGTATTCTTTGAACTTATCTTATCTACCCTTCATTTAAATTTATATATTTACCCTCTTGACCAGATACTGTCAGCTGTTGCAAATAATTCCTCAGTTGTGATAGAATGTAGATTGCAAACATTCAGCATTCTTGTAAGTAATTGTTGGAAGGCCAACTCTAGAGATATTGATGTAATAACAGTCTCTTGAATCGAGGTTTGTAAAGAAAGTGTTCCATATGAAGTAATGCAGGCATTATAAACGTGGAAATGTCCATGTAGTTGCGACAAGTGGCTTTTCATATGGGACACTACAGCAGGTGCATCCCATGTTGTAGGACACTTCAGTTTAAACTCTATAAAAACATTTCTACTTCCTCTTCCTGTAAAACAATCATTTTAGGTGTCAATGCAATTAAGATGGGATCTGAGTGGTTTTGATGCAAACGTTTGTGTGTGTTATTCACACTTCGATTGACAGATAGATATTTGACACGTTATTGTATTGTAGTTTAATTCAACATGTTATCCTGTCCTGTTTCTTTGAAAATAATACTATTCTTGATAATAGAATGCGTTACATTCTATTGTCCTTATTCAAAAGAAAACTTTATGGACACATCGTAGTTGTGGGATACCACGTCAATGAAACAGCAACCAACAAACCCTACTGAGCACATATATTTATTGAAAACAATTTAAAATGCTACCAAATATATGTAATCAGCAACAAATTATTACACGAGGAGAAATAAAAATATTAAAATGAGAGCGTCCGACGTAGTGGAGCATTATTGTCATTTTTTTTGTGAAATAACAGAATAAAACTTTTTATTCTACACAAGGCATCGGTTAGATAAGCTGTAATTTGCAAAACCTTTCGGAGTTTTTGACCCTCAATGCTCTTCAACTTCGTTCTTTATTTGACGTTTTAACTTGTTTGATCCGAACGTCACTGATGAGTCTTTTTTTATTTGAAATGCGATCACAAAAATCTGCATAAATGAGCCAATTTATTCAGAGTTGCAAATTGCAAATTCAAAAGAAGACGATCAAATGGCACTTCACTTACTCAAATCTGCAATGTTTATTTGAAAAAAGGCCCCTTTCTTTAAATCAAATATGGACGCCAAAATTGTATAAATTATTTGATTTAGAAGTTTGGTTGTACCTGAGGAAATCTTATTACTACAGTATGCTATATCAAAATTTTACGGTGATGTTGAAACAAGACCTCGTAACTTATTCTAACGTAACAAAGCCCATGATAACTGGTTGGTCCGTTTACTAAAGTACTGAAGTGATTTCAAAATTTTGTTTTATATACATATGTTTTATGACTGTCCGGTAATTAACACCTATGGCCCTACATCCCGTCGGCACTCATATCTCATATTGTGGTATACTCGTGATTATGCTCTTCTCATACTGCCTTTGGAGGTGAACATACCGATATTTTTTTTGCGGGTAAACAAATATAAATAGTCGAAAATGGCATTTAAACGTGCCTTCGGATTACATTAAATCAGGATATTGTTTTGATTTCCTTTTTGTAAATTGTTTTTAAACCCGATGTGATGTATCAAACCTTTTACAACTGGTTTGTAAATTTGGGGTGAGCTGATTATTAAAGGTTGTATGTTGACTTTTAACCCATCTTGAACATACTCCTATATTTTACTCTTCAACTTGCAAAACTTGAATCGATCGTTGTGTTTTATATAATTACACTATTTCCATTGGATGTGTACTGATTGATAATTTATCTTAGATACATGAATTTATTAGTTGTTATTGGCTTTGAATTAGATTCCAGTAACTGCGAATAATCTCAGATCTGGACTTTGTGTCTTTAGTGTTTTTTAATCCTTTTGGTGATTTGTATCAATGAGTTAAGCTAAACACAGATAATATTCAGATGCCTGATAATTTAAAGGCAGACGTGTTGCGTTATATTTGTATTTTTCTAACCAATTAGTTGTGATCTTATATTTAGTAATGCATCATTGAACATGATACCACGGTTATTTAAACTCACTTACAATACCTTCTAATTAAGAAAAGGCTTTTATTTTGAAAATAGTTTAAGTTATAGATATAATGGATAAGCGTTGATTCATGAAAAACAAACCATTCGCCCTCCGGGCTCATGGTTTCTTTTTCAAGAATCAACGCTTATTCATTGTATCTATATTACTTAACTAATTTTTATAGTTAATTCTTATGTTGTGTAGATACACCCAGTCCCAGGTTAAATGAGGATTAGACATCTATAAACAGATATAAGTCCGGCACAGTCTGTATGTGCCTGTCCTTAGTCTGAAGCATGCACTTCAGTGGTTGTCGTTTGTTACTGATTGATTGATTGATTGATTGATTGATTGGAGTATTGCCACTTTCAGACAGGATAGTGATACAGTAGTTCGACTACTCGGTCACCGAGGCCTTTGTTTGTTACTGTATGATATTTGTGTTCCATTTATTGCACATAAATCAGGCTGTTAATTTTCTCTTTTGAATTGTTTAGCGTCTGTCATGTCGGGTGCGTTTTATAGCTTGTTATGTGGTATGGGATTTGCGCATTGTTGAAGTCCATATAATAACCTAAAGCTGCTAACATCTACGTCTACGTCATTTGATTTCTTGTGGAGAGTTGTCTCATTGGCAATCATACCACATCTTCTTTTTTTTTAAATGATTTACTAACGATCAGTTGTCATATTACAAAGAGTAACTGATACAGTAGGTGGATTTTTTTTTTTAATCCAATACATTTATTGAATTTGAAATATTAATTTGACATTGTACTTTTTAATGTATACGGTTTTATTTACATAACGATTCTACATTTTCATGTTGCTTACTGATAATCTAATTGTTATCTGAATATTTCTGTGTATGATTATGTGTATAGTTATAGTTTTTGTGTATTGATATCATCCAGCCGTAAAAAACTTAACTTAATTTGATTTACTTTTAGTTTCAGGTGGATCGTCATTCTGATCTGATACTTCTAAATTCTGTGGAAGTCCTTTAATCCTCAGCATACATTTTATATCTTCAACGTTTATAAAGAATTCCTCTGTAATAAATAATGAATGTATGGTAAACATAAATATTGCTAGTTAAAACGTTTATGTTTTTCCCCGGCAAACAATAATAGTAAAATATACAACGGAAATCGCACTACATGTAAACTCCAAGAAAACGTATACTCATACACAACAATTTGATCATATGGAAACGTAATAAACTAAAGATTAAGTAAGCCTGCTATTCATGGTACCATTGTTGTCATTTCTTGTATCTGTTTTGTTATTGACATTAGGTTTATCGGTTGACTGAACATCCAAGTCAGCTGGAAAACGCTTATGCGAATATTACTTCTTCTTATAGTGATAACTTTGCAAATTAACAAGACAAATAATTGCTCGATTAAGATTTATTAGTTTAGTAACATAATTTATTATTAGAGATCTTGATTTGAAAAAAATAAACTAAAAATAAATAATGTAAACCAAGACATGCCAATAGTATGGGGCATATGTAAAAATCATGATATCAGAAACGAATCCATTTAAATAATGATATCAGTTTATAGCGTATAGAAACATTTGTTACTGAGCTAAATATACCGCGAACAAGCAGTTCTTCAGCAGTGGTATCGACAAATTTCATAATCTTTTATAATCTTGATGCGTCCAACTCGCTGCTGGATAGAGCTTCATTGGGAATGCTCAAACTCAAACACATAAAAGCCAAAGATGTATTACAACGCGAAGACCAAAGGCAAATAATGAATCGATCAAGATATGCCTGTAAATTTGATACCCGTTTCATCAATATTTACCTCTAAAACTTTTTATAATTTTATAAGAACGAAAACCCATTGCAAGGGTATATATCCAACAAACTAGCCGTTAGTAATGTTACCTCTGTTAAAAATGTTGTTTGAATTCTATAAGTTACATCACTAAACCGGTTAAAGTGTAATTCAATAATTTAACCATGTCAGATTTACCTTCTTTTTCCTCTTTTTCAAATTTACCAGATTTATCTATTGGGCTCAGCAGGCTAGTTTCCATATGAACTATCTCTGTGTTGTCTACAAAATACATAAACAATAATTTCAAAAGTCATCCACCTCTCATTATATGACATCTCAATTGATATGTTACGCACAAGCATAGGCACGTGATGCGGACTTCATTATAAGAGTGTTCCTCTGACCTGATTTTTCAATCTGGTTAATAAGGAATGATGACTGAAATCGAAATGGTAAACGTTTTGTGTTTACAATAACAAACGGGTTGACATAATGGGGTCCCTGTGTGCAGTCTTGGATTATTAAAATACCAGAATATGTTAACTTAACAATTGTGTCATATTCTCTATGGTGACGTTTTGACTGAGTATGGATTAAATTTTGACGGACACATCGTTAGTATTTGGTCCAAAACAAATAATGTAAATATATTTGTTGCATCTCTACAAGAACGAATGCTAATTTCCAGACAACCACTCATTAATAATCTACCTACTTGTTTGAAATTTTTTTTTATAATCATATTTACTTCATTACTAAACATGCAACATATCTATTCAATGATACATTACAATGTTATCTACATTTACCTTTGTCAGGTGTACCTTCTGTTCCCTTTTTTCAATACAATACCATAGTCGCCTTATGGTAACACATCCCACAGGCCAATGATGTACTTATATTTCAATTTCATACATTTTTCTATTCAAAATAAACATTCAACAAGGGTTCAAATGTACTCCTAGGACCTCAAGTTTTCATTTCAGATATTTTCATATTTTGAAAAATACTGCTATACTTATGAACTGTTTTGTATTTTTAAAGCGCATGCATTATCATTTAGACAACATTGTATTGTGGTGAGGGCAACTTTAATTTTCAGTGAAAGGCCTCAGGCAAAACTACAAGGGCGAGGGCAAGATTGGTCTTGTGAGCTTAGGAAGACAGCCTGTCTAGGAGAAGGAAACTCTGATTTCATCACGGTTGGTGGTAACCGTTAGTCCTTTCATGGCAACCACTCCAGCTATTGGACAAATAGTGGGGATATCAGTGCCCCGGCGAAAGATAGCTGTCAAGCTACAATGGCAAAGGGCGTAGGAGGGCAAACAGTGCCCCAACAGTTAGTGGCCCTTGCGGGGAAGGCTGCATTCCAGATGCCTTTACAAAACTACCTGGAACCTTTAGGTAGGCTAATCCCCCGCTTAGAGGTTACAGAAACCCTAAACGAAAATTTGCAAACATTGTATGAAAGAGAACTTCAAGGAAGACCTTTAAATAGAAGGAAAATGACGTTGGATGGCCAAAACCGAAAGGAAGCTACACAACTGAGACTTCGTAACTCTAAATCCGCATCAAAGATAGGAACATGGAATGTGCGATCTATGTATATTCTAGGAAAAGCACAAACCATCGCAAATGAGATGAAAAAATATGAAATAGGTATACTAGGAATAGCGGAAGGAAGATGGAATTATGCAGGACAATCAAAAGTGATTATACACTCTGGACACATGGAGGAGAACGCCTCACATTCTGAAAGAGTTGCCATCATGCTACCAAAAGAAACTCAAAAACATTAATTGGATGGGAATTAATAAGTGCCAGAATCATCATGGCAAAATTTAAAACCACACATAAAAGAATATCATTAAACATCATCCAATGCTATGCTCCTACAAATGGCGCAAAGAACGACATCTAGGAGGGATTCTATCACATGCTAGAAGAAACCACCAGGAAATGTAGCTAAAAAAACATCATTATCTTAATGGGAGACCTAAATGCTAAGGTTGGAAGTGACAACACCGGTTATGAACAAGTGATGGAGAGACATAGACTAGGAGAAATGAATGAAAATGGAGAGCTCTTTGCCAATCACTGTGCAAATCACAATCTTGTCATTGGTGGAACAGTCTTCCCTCACAAAAAATGTCATCTTGAAACATGGGTATCTCCAGACATGAACACTGGAAATCAAATAGATCATGTCTGCATCTCCAAGAAGTTTAAGAGAAGTTTACAGGATGTCCGAGGTAAAAGAGGAGCAGACGCTGCCACTGACCATCACCTTATTTTTGCAAAAGTAAAACTGATTTCACATATCAATGTTGGCCAACAAAACAAAGAAATCAGAATTCCAAATAGAGTTAAAAAATTGCTTCTCAACATTTCAGAATGCAACAAAGGAAATAGTTACAATAGTAGATCACTGGCAAAAGATTAAAAAAGTTTTCACAACAGCTTGCGAAACATCAGTTGGTTTGAAAAATAGAAACACCAGAAATGGATATCGCCAGAAACACTTGTAAAAGTGGAAGAAAGGAAAAATATAAGAAATATCATAAACTACAGCAAACAAAGATAAGCAAAACAAACAGCCTCAGGAGAGTTCAATATAGCTAACAAAGATGTCAGAAACAGTACAAGGAAAGATAAGAGGGCCTTTGTAGACAAACTAACAGCAAATGCAGAAGAAGCAGCCAGAGCAAACAACAACAAAGCTCTGTATGACAACATAAAACTGCTAATTGGGAAATATCAGAAAGGATGAAAAGAAAAGAAGGGAAAATACTTAACACACATGAAGAGCAAATGAAACGACCGGTTGAGCATTTCAAGAATGTGCTAAACCAAGACCCACCTGTAAATGAAGCTGACATTCCACCTCGAGCTTTTAGCAGTTGACTGTAAAAGACCATGTAAAGGAGAAATCAAGAAAGCCATATAAATGCTGAAGAATAACAAAGCTCTAGGTCCTGACAATATACCTGCAGAAGCACTGAAAGTAGATATTGAATCATCAACTCAAATGCTATATGAATTGATTGGAAAGATCTGGGAAGGAGAAGAGGTCCCTCGAGAATAGAAAGAAGGACACATGGTAAAGCTTCCAAAGAAGGGCAATTTAAGCATTTGTGACAACTATAGAGGAATAATGCTACTATCAGTTCCAAAGCTTCGCAACCAAGCTGGACAGATCATGTGCAGATCAAATAGCTACTTTACGCATCATCCTCGAACAATCACTAGAGTTCAATTCCTCACTCTATTCTGGTTTTGTCGACTATACATTCCTGACAAATTTATTACAATCATCAGAAACATCTATACAGGAACGCAGAGCAAGATCATCCATGACGATCAGCTAACAGAGGCCTTTGATATAACAACTGGAGTAAGACAAGGCGGTATCTTTTCACCTATGCTATTCCTCCTGGCGGTCGACTGGATCATAAAGCAAGCCACAGACGGCAGAAGAAACGGCATCCAATGGACCATGTTCACCCAGCTGGATGACCTCTACTTTGCCGATGACATTGCCTTGCTGTCCCACAACCACCAACAAATGCAGGACAAATAGAACAGGTTGAAAAGAGAGCTGCAGAAACAGGCCTTTCTATCAATCACAAAAAGACCAAAGTGTTATAGTCAAACACAAGGTCCCTAGCAAGTCTGATGGTTAACAGTCAAGCTTTAGAAGACATGGATTCTTTTACATACCATGGAAGCGTAGTGGACAATCTTGGTGTCTCAGATAAAGACGTAAAAATCAGAATTGGCAAAGCTAGAACTACATTTAATATGATGAGATCAATTTGGAAGGCGAAAAACATCACTCTGAAGACCAAAATACGCTTGTTGAATTCCAATGTAAAAACCATACTCTTATATGGAGCTGAGACTTGGAAAACAACAAAAAAAACCTGCTTCAAAAACTTCAAGTCTTCATCAACAACTGTCTCAGACGCATCCTTTGTATCAGATGGTCTGTGAAGTTATCAAACCTAGATCTCTGGGAAAAGACCAACCGATCCCCAGTCGATGAAGAGTTAAAAAAGAGAACGTGGAGATGGATATGGCACACACTCAGGAAGCCTGTTGTAAATTGCTTTCTTTAATTATAGACATTTTCTTATAACTGGTAAACGTCTTAACGTCGTTTAGCGCGGTAATTGCGTAACAGTATATTCGACGTCGCTACTTAGCGACGATATTTGTGATCATATGTAGTTTAGATAAAGATTTCGTTATGTGAAGACGTTCTTCATTATTTCTTTAGAATATAAGTCATAATGGTGCCGTGACAAAAAGGACGATGAGTTCTAAACTCAAAGCTATTCGAGCTGGACATTGTGGTGCAGTCACGAAATTACTAAAGCGAGTGAGTGGAAATTTCGAGGATTTATTACAGGAATACAATGTGAATGAACTTATGTCAATCAGAGAAATGATACGGAAGAAGGAAACAGTTATTTAGGAACTCAACGATAAAATTGTGGAAGAAATTTCGGAAGAGGATATTCAAGAAGAGATAGAAGAAACAGACAGGTATGAATTTGATATCCAAATTACTTTAACTAAATTAGCAAAAGTAATCCGGGAAGCAGATAACACAACATCTACGAAACAACCACAATTAAACCCGCATGCCACAGAATTTACACTTTCAAACAACCAAACAAATCCGACTCAATTAAGTTTCACGCCAGCAAATCATTCAGCATCTACATTTTCAAACTCCAGTATGTACCATAAATTACCAAAGCTTACCCTACCCACGTTCGGAGGAAATATATTGGAATGGCAGCCTTTTTTGGATTCCTTTTGTGCAGCAGTACATGAAAATTTTTCCTTAAACGACGTACAGAAGTTTAACTATTTAAAGTCTCAATTGTACGGAGAAGCAAGCTAGTGCATCTCAGGATTACAAATTACAAACACAAATTACGCTCAAGCCCTACATGTATTGAAACAGAGATTTGGTCAACCCCACAAAATTGTGAATGCCTTTATGCAAGGCCTTATTAGTCTATCCAGTCCATCCGCAAATATTAGAGAGCTAAAGAACTTTTACGATAGTATGGATAATTATATTCGAGGTCTTGAGGGAATGGGACAGACACATGAATCGTACGGGTGCCTTCTGGTACCAATTATCTTAAATAAAATTCCCGGAAACATCCGACAAAATATGGTACGCGTTCATGGAAATGACAGATGGAATTTACAGTTGCTACGAGACGCAATTCAGCATGAAATTACAATCCAAGAAGCAGGTC